ATCTGCGACTTGCGTTTAATGTAGAACGGCCTTTGAGTTCCACTTTTGTGGAAATACGGCTAAAACCAGCGGCTGAAACCGTCGTAAAAAATTACATTAGGATGGCCGCTCTCAGGTTTCTCTCTGGTAGAACGAGCTAAACAGAGCCGAGTTATAGAAAATATCGACAAATGATAAAGTTGTGTGATTCTTTGTCGGTATTTTAACTTCTTCTCTAACGCGAGCTAAAGAGAGGGAGAGAGGTACAAGAAAAAACAAAAATCATCGCACATAATACAATAACTTGAAAAAGGCGGAGGGAAAGAACGTTATTGAATCAAAATGAAGAGTTGAAAATGCGCACTGAAAAAAACGCACTTAGTATTTGCAAATATTTGACAGTATTTTCAAGTATTTGTTAATGTTTTCTATTTTTTTTAAGTGGTATATTTTTCACGTGTTCTTCAAACGTCAAAGTGATTCTTGTGAGCACGGGAGTGATTTGTTGATTACATTGAGATTAGGTTAAGAGAAATAAATCAAAAAACTATGACCGGTTTCCTCACATTTTGCATAATCTTATTCTTCCTTTATTGTTGTTTCACCTGGTAAGTTTGCAATACTTGTAAAAATCAATAAAATGTCAGTATAAAGCAAAATAGTTGTGTTGCAGAGAGATTTGTATACATTGTTTTTTTCTTTTTTCACACAGGATTGTTCCAAGACTGGTGGCATGGTTGGTGAAACGTCGTTACAAAATTTACCTGCGTGTTGGTCACATCTCTCTGCCTTATTTTGTTCTTCGTGATGTTAATATCACCAAAAATGGTTTTACATTGGTGAGTGTTCGAAGAGATATTGCGTGAATATACAGAGAAAAATATATACAATATAGATTTATACAAGAGAATAAATATGTTCAATTTCAGCAAATCGAAGAAATAAGCGTACGAAGTAGTTTATTCAGCAGTGACGTAGCAAAATTGTTAGCTGTTATTATGCGAGATGTCAGAATAAACAAAGATGTTCCAGTTGACACAACGTGCAAAATAAAGCAATCCAATGAACTGTTGGACTTTAGAAATAAGAAGATACCTCCTATAATTATAACCTTTGTACAGGTAAGCTTTACAGAGCTTTACAATTTGTTTTTTTTCTTCGTGTGTATATGTGTACATGTGTTTTTGTATCTGTAATATCATATACATTTATTCTCCCATATTTCTCATAGTTTATGGCTATACATGTAGAAAATATAAGTCTGCTTGTTCTTGGCGACGGTTGGTTGGCCAATGGTAATGCGGAAAGTCTCAATTTGGACGGCAGTATTGTACATGGGGCGCGCACACTCTTAGCATCCGCTTCGATTGTAGGCGGTGCTATGAAATTACTGCGACATGCTTCTGACGCGTGTCTCTCACAAATAACATTTGCCGGAACGGTGGAAGCCACATTAAAAGCTCAGGGTGAACTTTCAGTTGAGGTATGTTACTTAAAAACTTTTTGATAATATTTATAACAATTTTGTCATCAAAGTTTGCAATATCAAATTTCTTTTAACACAAAAAAAGATTTATAATAAGCTTCATCATTAAAATACTTGACAAATTTGTTGAGCAACAATTTATTTTTTATAATTGATATAACATTGGTCTCATAATTATGTATATCTGATTGTCGACAATTTCTAAAAGGAATCAAGTGGAATCTGATTTATAGACATTATGTATTGGAATAACACAAACTGAAGGATCCGGCGGTGTTGGCCTCATTCAATTCTTACGAGATAGAAGAACATCGAGCGCCACATCATCTTCGTATAGGAATGTATATAACTCGTCCGATAACTTAATAGCTAGACTAGCACCCATTTTACCAAAGGTAAGTTATCAAAAATAAACTTCAGCGTAATTATGTTTTGAAAAAAAAAAAAAAAAACATACAATACATCACAGTTATATTTTCAGGATTTTACGTTAAAAATCGGCAATTCGTTGATAATAGCTGGCAGGGAAGATGGCAGTATGATAGGCTTGGAAGGCACTTTGAGAAGTCTTCAAATCCACGCGAAATTCCAAGCCGATATAGCGAGATTGAATTTTGCCATGAGTTTGGACGGTCTGTGCGTGCGCGGAAAACTTCCCATTTTAACTCTGCATTCGCTGTCGATTGACACAAAGGTGAGGCCAATAATTCGTCATTGAGAATTAAATTTGACACGTAATTGAAAAAAAAAAAAAAAAAAAACATACCTCACACTCGGTTTCTCGCACACAGATGGAAAAGAACGTTTTGTTTGTTTCTGTGCAATTTAACAATCTGTCGGTAATATACGATCACAAGGATTTTGAATCGTTACTTTACACTAACGAGAATGACATTTCAAAACCTGTTAGCGAGATATCGCTCAAGGACAGATTACCGAACTTCGAGGTAACGTTGAATATCGAACTGTACGATTCTTCGTTGAATATTAAATTGCCCAACGTGCAAGAGGCGTCTTGCGGTGTTACGCATATGAAATTTTCCTTAAATTCGTCTACAGGTATATTTAGCTTTTTTTTTTTTCTCGTCAGAGAAAAACATACGTAACGATGTTAACTGTAACGATAATGCAAGAGACACATTCTGTTCGCTTTAACAGACAAGGTCGAAAGTGTAAATACGGAATTGGTCGTCGAATCTTTGTACTGCGCTTTGAATGGATCTAATAGCAACGTCTCCGAGATCTCACATCAATGGGGCAGCCCGCTTTCGATCGGGGTATTGCTGGCAACGAGTCACAGCAACGCCATGGGGATCGCGGTTGATGCTCTTGTCACGGAATGGAGTTTGGAGCTTGCAAAGTTTTTCGAACAAGCTTACAAGTAACAAACATTAAATAATAATGTCGATAGAATATCAAGAAAGAAAATTTTATAGGATGCGGAGTGAAAACACGATTGCAAATCCAATTGCAGGTGTTACAAGAAGTGTCAGCAACCCTCGGAAACGAAGAAGAAAACTAAAAGATTAACATCGCGCAACCCTCTTCAACTGAATCTTAAAGCGACGAATTGCAATCTATTCTTTATCGCGGAAAACGAACGTAGGTATCTAACGGCAATTACTTAGAGAAGAAGAATTTTTTTTTTCACACACTCGCAATACCGTTTCCAGTGTCCATAATGATGCGTCTGGATATAGCGACTCTGGAACAAAATGCAAAGCGATTCGTAGGCGTGGCGGAAGGTGTGAGCGCGATAACCCTGAACAAAAACGAGCCGATCATGTGTCAACACGCGCAAGCTCTGACCCATCCGTTTCTGGCGATACGAAAGTGTAAGGCCGCGATCAGTTCCGACGTTGTAAACATCAGCCTCGATGGCACCAATCTGGAGTGGAGTCCTAACTTACATCTCCGCTTGTTGCAATTCTGGATGGAATCTGAAGATTTCAGATCCATCATCACGAAAGAGTTAAACGCAGCTCGTGTCGAAGGTAATAACAAGCTACCGATATTCGCTACATCGGTCAATGCTAATTAGTAGATTCTATCTCGACTAGTTTTTAACATCAAGTCACGATGTTTGTTGACTTTTTCAGAGGTAGAGAAGAAGAAGAAGCGCGTCGTCGATTTGCTAGCCACGAGTGGAATTACCGTTTCCATAGACATTTCTACCAAACACTTCTTGATATTGACGTCCGATCATCTGCGTTGGTCGCAGGGCGAATGGAGACTCAACTACGTTCGCGTAACCTTGGATATGGCAGATATAATTATGATTGAAGGTTTTGACATGATCCGAGTAGCCGACAACGCGGAAGTGCGAATGGAGAGACAGAGCAACGAGGGTTTCGTGTTGGATTGGAATGAGTGTTGGGCGTTGAACATAGCGTCGATAAAAATTTGCTTTCCGTACGAGCATCAATTCACAAATGCGATACAAAACGAGTTGTTCAGCATCAGAAAGTGGCTGAAAGAAATCCATTCTGCGAACAGGCGCGATAAAGAATTTTTGCCTTGCGATTTGATCATCAAAATTAAAGAATGGACGTTCGAGCTCACCGATGATCCGTTCGAGGTGCGCTTACGCGATAATTACGAACTGTTGGAGGACGAGTACAAGGAAAGTTTGAAGCGACAGGCAATGCTGGACACCAAGGTGCAGGAGCTCTGTCGTGCGCATTTGCTGCTCCCGCAGGGTAAAGTCGAGGAATTATACGCCAGTTTGAGTAAAAAGAATGCGGAAATCTACGTACAACGATGGAAACAAATGCAGCGAGCCGGTCCCGCAAGAACTCGTCTGTTCGCATGGACTATGTTGGATTTGGAAATATTAGCTTTGGCCGACCCGTCCATAAACGGAACGGAAAGATCGATAAAAGCACTCCGAGAGATGGATCCGGAAACACCTTGGCCTGAGGACGGTTTGGAATTTAACACGTTGTGGGTGCGAGGAATCAGTCTGAAATGTGCCGAGTGGAAGCTTCAGCTTCGTGATTTTCCTCAGCCGCTGCTTCTGGTGGAAAATCTGAACGTGTGGGGCAGATTGGCGGGAGCTGAGGCTCTGGCGCCGTCGAGAGCGAAGAGAACCGTCAGAATCGAAATTGGCGCGCCATGGGAAGATGTGGTGATTGAGAGAGGAATGACGTCCTTGAAGTATTATCACGATCTCAATTGGGACATCGACAAGTTCAGATACGCGTTCGGGCCATGCTGGGAGCCGGTGATAGCGCAGTGCAATCTAAGCTTCGAGAAGATCTTCCATCCGTCAAGAGATCCGAGTCCGCCTTTGCCGTTCTGGGATAAAATGCGACTGGCTCTTCATGGCAGATTGACGCTGTGCGTGAAACAGTTGACGATATTGCTGCACGGCTCGTTGGATCCGTACAACACTACGGAAGAGATGGAACTTACGTGGAGCGGACTGGAACTCGACTGGACGCAGGGAAGAATCATTATTAAAGGCGATTTCGATGTATATGTACGCACAGCTAGTAAATACGATGACTGTCGACTGTTGCATCTGCCTAATGTTCGATTAAGTATTAAACTAGCATGGGTATGTCTGGGTGATCCACGTGATCATCATGCCGCTGTGCCTTGCGCCCCGGATCGATTGCCCGAGTACTCGAGCAATCAGGAACACGATTCGTTCAGAGCGTTCCGTTCTCAGAATCTTAACGTCAGTCTTTCGTTAGAGACTAAACCTACTGGTTCGCCTACGTTAACAAGCGCGCCGACGGTATTGCTCTATGGCAGTACGTTGAGATGGTTTGAGAACCTCAAGTTGATATTGTCGGGCGCGACGAGACCTACGAGAAAAGGAGCGTTGTTCAAGAACATCAGACCGAGGAAGAAGCAATTGAGCAGACATTACAGAAAGGTTCGATTGACTCTAGCTTTCCATCGTTTTCACGTCAACTATTGGATGTCGTTCGCTATGCAGCGGGGTTTCGAAGTGACAGGTGGCAGAGTGGCGTGCAGCTCGGAGCACAATCTATCGTTGTATCCGATCGATGACGGACTGCGCCATCGGCCACGCGCGGAATGGTCGGTTGTGTATATGAACTGCGAGTTGAGTGACGCTGAGATCTGGTTAAAGAGCGCGCTTCAGGAAAATGAGATCGAAAGCGCGTCGCTGCGACAACCGGTCGAGAAGTGCTATTGTTTGAGCGTAGCACGCGTCAGCTACGGACGTGAGGCAATGGTTGCCGGTGTGAGCGGCGACACACCGATTCATCGATTAGTCGTGCACGATCTACGCGGTGCCTGGACCAAAACCAATCGCGATGTTGCTTTCGCGCTCTTCGACTCTTTCATCAAAACTCAGCAGCTCAAGAAGAACTTGTCGACCGCAGCGCTCAAAGGTTTTCACAGGGACACCAGTTCGACGCCGCACAAAAATCGCGCAACCAGACCAAACGTGGTCGATCAACAAAGCACACCTACTCAAGTAACGGCATCCTCGTCCGTGAAGCCGCAGCAAGGCGAAGCGGCGGGTATGTTGCAGCGATTAATAGCAGAAGCCACAAACAAACCTGTTGCTTTCAGCGACGATCTGTCGGTTCAGACTAGGGGACAACAGCTGCGCGGTTTGGCAGCATGTCATCAGGACGACGTCCTGCACAAGAACTGGCTAAGTATGTAATGCTTCGTTCTGTCTTAAATTTTTTTTTATGCGTAAGCAGAAAAATTGTGAGAGAATGCAAAATACGACGATGGCTAACTGAATAAAATTTGTTTCAGTCGCTTTGGTGAATAGTCAGGTGTTGTTGAAAGGCATCGAGACCCGCGGCTACGTGATTCTCTCGGCAGCCAAGGCGGAGATACTGCAGAGGGTTCATCATCCGGTTTGGAAGGAGCGATCTCTCGTTCCTAAAACAACCTGGGTTGGTTCCTTAGAATGCATGCAGTACTACGCCACTGTGAACGCAAACATCGATGACAATATCGACGACAATATTATGTGGCTGACATTGGACAACATACAAGTATTGTCTATATCTTGGAATAATGGCAAAATTATCGATTGCGACAAAATACTTATTGTTTTTTATTTTAGGAAAAAGATTCTACTATCATAGCCGGCTTACCGGACGTCCCGGCGTTAGTGGGATCCGGTCAGAGCGTTGGCGGTGTGGTCAGTCAGACGGTTGGTGGCGGCGGCGGTACTCAACATCAACTGCAGCGCATAGTGTCCCGATGTAAATGCGAGTTTTTCTATGTCGGTTACGGTCAGACCTTAGATGTAGGCTCCATAGACGAAATTCCACCTCCACCTAGGGAGGAAGTCAGTCCGTGGGAAAGGAAAGACTTTTCCGCAGCTGACGCCTTCACGCTGATGCATCACGATCTCGATGTGTGTACCAACTCGTTGCAGTACGCTATGATCTTGGACATAGTCAACAATCTGCTGCTATACGTCGAACCGAGACGAAAGGAAGCGTCGGAAAGATTACAGAGAATGAGATTCCAACTGCAACTTCATTCCGTCGAAGATCAGAAGAGACCGATACAGCAGCTGCAGAACACGGTGCGCGGTTTGGTAGCGAAACTGCGACGCTTGGAACGCGAAACGTATTTGGTGCAAAAAGCATTGGCTGACGAATCGAGTCCGGAGTTAATGACGGAAATGGAACGTTTGGAGGCAAGTGTCTTTGAATGCAAGGAACAACTTAGCGCCAAGGCGGAAGAATTAGACGTGATGCTGAGTTGTTACAAAGAGACCACTGCTCCGGCTGCCGCGTCAACCACATTGAAGGACAAGCCAGCTGCGGTGGCCAGAGTGGCCGAGATCTGCTTCAAACACGCACAGTGGAGGTTGACGGACGCGGACGGTCAGTTGGGTATTGCGGATCTTATTTTGACCAATTTTCTTTACACGAAAACGAGCAAGACCGACGATTCGGTGGAGCATCTGCTAGAATTGGGATACGTTCGGATGATGAATCTGTTGCCGAATCAGATTTACACGGAAGTGCTCGTGCCGACCGAATTGCAGAGCAACATGCCTGTAGACCGGCAGAGAGCTCTTCGGGTGTTTTGCAGAGAAAAGGCGCCGGTGGCGGGTATATCGGTGAAAGAACACTTCGAGATCAATGTGGTGCCTCTTACGATAGGTAAACTCTAAAATGTAAAACTCGGATATTTTACTCTTGTGTGTAAATAAACGTTTACATGATGTTTTTTTTTTTTGCTTTAGGTCTCACAAAAAAATTCTTCAACACTATGCTCAAGTTCTGTTTCCCCGAGAGAGATCCTGAAGGCATAGAAGAAGCGCCGGCGCCGCAACGTGATTCATCCTTTTACGTACCTATTGAGAGAAGAGACGACGTAGAGAAGATGAAAGAGAGAGCGGACAAGAACAAATTGTTCATATACATCAAAATACCGGAAGTACCTGTTCGGGTGTCTTATAAAGTACGAAATTCAAAAAAAAAAAAAAAAAAAAAAAAAAAAAAAAAAAAAACCGACAAACAATTCCTACCTTTATCAGCGAGTTCTAATTCTATTATTTTTTTTTGTTTTCTAGGGTAACAAGGAAAAAAATCTCGAAGACGTGCGCGACTTCGCGTTAGTTATACCGACTTTGGAATACCACAACGTGACGTGGACGTGGCTCGATTTGCTCTTGGCCATGAAAAGTGATTCCAGACGTGTGATATTGAGCCAAGCTATTAAACAGAAATTGCAGATAAAACCGAGAGGACCGCCCGAGGAATCCGCGCCGCAGGAAGAGGACAAGGCTCGTCTTTTGTTGGGTACTCGGCACCTTCCTGGGGATGCAAAAAAGAAAGGTGTATTCAAGTTCAAATAAGTTTAAATAAATTGTACATATTTCTCTTTAATTTTATCTCTATGTGTATAAATAAATTAATTTATTATTATAGCGTCGCGATGAACGTCATACATGAGAAACTTTTACATGTTCGGGTTTGTTTCTGTACAAAATAAAATTGTCGATCTGTGTGTAGATTTGTGTTGTCCTGAGACACAAAACGTCAATATTTAAAAAAATTTCGTTTCCTCATGTTGGCGCGATTACATTGGCAAGAATGTAACGTCAGTATAGATACAATAGTGATTTGTTTAAGAACATGCTTGAGCATTTTGTTACTGTATATGTGACTTACTTTACATATGTATGTATATTTATATTTATATTTATATATATATATATATATATATATCACTTTTTATATATTTTATTACCTAATATGTATGTTAAAAATAATCTCATTGCAGGTAATTTAAAAAGAAAGACTAACAATTTGCACAGTTAACAGAAAGCTGTTTACAATCACACATCGTCACTCCCTACGTATAATTACATAACTGTCACATATGGGATTTTCAGTTTATTGCATAGTGACACTTAGAAAGTCATGTTCTTTATGTGTGTGTGTGTGGTCACCAAATATTTAAAAAAAAATATTCATAAGTAAGGTACAAATTTGAAACCGAAAGATCCCTAACTATAAGGAAACATATGAAACTTTATACTTTTAAACTGTTCTTCTCTAAAATTTGCGTTTTGGAGTTACGGGATTATACGTAGGGAGTGACGACATAAAAACTTTTATATTTCTTTTTAAGCCTCTTGCACAACGGAAGAAATAGCGATAGCGATAGAAATAACCACCAGTTTTAAAGAGTTTATATTTATAAATAACGGTAGGAAAAACAGCGGAATCTAACATACAAAAATACACATATGTATCAATTCTGATCAGAAAACGGAATAAGCAATAGCGATAAATTTTCCGACGAGTTGGAATTCTGTTCCTATTCTTATCGCTATCACTATTTCCTCGCATTGTGCAAAAAACTTTATCTTGGCTTTATCTCGTGTAAATTAATCTCTTATATTTTTAACAAGAAAGAGAGAAAAACAGAGAGAGAGAGAGAGAGAGAGAGAAAGAGAGCGCAATGTGCACGTACCAAATATATATCACACAAATAAAAACTTGTGCTGTATACGAAATCTATCTAGACCTCTGACTCGTTGAGAGCAAGTTATTCTCGCAAATTTACATACACGTGTTGTTGAAGTATATCTACAAAGTTATACCACGATAAAAACTACAGTGTTATCAAAGGTGCTTCCGCGTTTTTCTTCGCGTGTCTCCACGCGTTCAGGTCCGCCAAGATTCGTCTGCCGTAAGCCGTGTGTAATTCGCGAAAACTTATCCTGGTTCTGGGCATATTCTCCGTTCTGCCGGGCGCCGATCTGACGCTCTGGGAACGATGATGAGAATCCGGTCTGTTGAAGGGATTGTGTCGTTGTCTCGGCGGGACTTTGGGTGATTGTGGTTGTTGTTGTTGTTGTTGTTGTTGCACCGGCACAGACGTTGTTTCTTCTTCGACAGCGTCCAACTGACGTTGGAGTTCTGTCACCATGAGTTTCATATAATCGTAACTGGCACACGCCAATGCTTTCATCCATTGTTCCATGGATTCCTGAATGTGTGTTTGTCAATTGGTTAATCGTTTAACTAACTCTAAGAGCGAAGAAAATATTTTCAAATATATTGCCAATGGATAAAATATCGCTTAGAGATACGATCCTGATTCGCACCTGAGACTCCGCTCCCAGAACGTAGCTTCGGTTGTTCGGTCCGTGAAATACTATCTTGAAACCGAATTGTTCCTCGTCCTCCGCTAATTCGATCGTACATCCCTCGAGCACGATCATGCCCAACGGTTCCTTGTCACCGCGACGTTCGAAATAAAACAATATGTTACCTTTGAGAACGAACCAACGTCTCTGATATCCACGATTCACCTCTCCGCGCTTGTTCAGCCAACCCTCGCGATCAACCGGTGTTGCGGAGGTTGCGAACGCTACCATATTTTTCTCATTAATTTTCATGGCGATTAGCGACGAATATCGTCCGATTTGTGTCACAATTTCTCAACGATTTGCGACAATTCGAATGCACGTCAAAAACCGAAAGCCGCACAGCACCCGATTGCAACTTGAGATAAACTTAAGCGGGGTTATATATGCATAGAAGAAAGATTCTCTCTCTCCCTCTCCCTCTCTCTCTCTCTCTCTTTTTCTCTGACAGTATTTAGAACAACGATTTCTTCACCGACTTCATTGAAATCTGACACTACACATATCTCGGCGAACGAAACGGCATTAAATTGATTTGACGTCTCCCGTTACCGATGTGCACACTTGTATTCGCACATTTGTTCGATTTCGGTGCGCGTTTTTTCGAGTGCGAGAAAGTTTTAAAACAAAACAATAGAAGTAAAATCTAAATTTTCTAACTCACTCCCTCTAGATTTTGTTGCGATTGAAATCACTTAACTTTTTTTTTTGGGTGTGTATAAAAGGTTTGAAAAATAACAACCGAGACACTCGATTTATCAGCGATCAAAAACTCGCGGATTAAACTGTGACAGCTCATGACGAGCAGAAGAGCAAGAGGAGTGGTTTCCCCGTAGACATGTGGTATATAGATTGCCTACCTGTCATTTTAATCGCGCGCAAAAACAAGACAGAGAGATGTGAACAACATCCAATCGCGTCTGTCACACTCGATAGATTGACCAATGGAACGGAACATTGTAAACCTTGGCTTACTGTCGCGAACGTCAAGTGGAACTTAAAGAAATTACGGCACGCGCTGGATCCATAATTGCACATGTCTGTGGAATAACCATGAGACCGGCTGAGATTAATTCGGTCCTTTGAGTCACATGTGCACCGGTCGACTGAGATAGGATTGTCTGATTTGGTCCGATTCATTTATCTTATATTTGTCTCGTCTAATCTTTTCATTTCAGACTTAATAAAAACTACGTCTGAGTCCGTAGTGTGATATCACATAAATATTGAAATAGATATTGAGATAAAGTCGATGGTAAAGTCGATTTAAATATAATTATAAACTTGTCTAGCAGAGGAAGTAAATTAAATTTAGAAGTAAGTGCAGTTTGTTATTATAATTTTTTAGTTTTTAATTATATGTACTTATATGTGATATTATCTCTATAGTATATTTCTAATTAGTATATTTCTAATATCTAATTAGATATATATTTCTAATTTCTAATTAGTATATTTTCTAATATAATATATTTCTCTAATATCTTAAACGCATATATAATACTACATATGTAACTACACACATATACACACATACTATATATTATAAATATATATATATATATATATGTATATATATGAATAGTTATTTTTATCTAGTTTTATTAAGTGTTTCTGTTTTATTAACTTCTTTCTCTCTTTTTTTTTTCTTTTTTTGTTACTCTATTAGTTATTTTATTATATATAAGTTTGATGTAATAAGTATATAAAATATATTTTACAAGATTACATAGAAGATGATATGTGTTACAGATGTCTGATAATATCCATCAGATATCAGCTTTTGCTGTGTATGCAGCCAAACGTAAAAGCACAGAACAGTCAAGAGACTCTAAAAATCCAAAGATAAGATGCTTGGGAAAAGATAACGCAGCTTCCACTCAAAAGAACCTTAAGCGGATCAACGGTAAACAAGCGCTGACAAAGCAAAAATTAAAAACTCAACCTGAAACCAAGATCAAACTTAGAAAAACAGCAAGTAACACAAACAAGCTTCAGCAAGAAACTGTGCTAAATAATAATCACAATAAACATAAAATTGTGGAACTACAGGCAAAGAAAGAAAAAAATGAAAAAAACGACTGCACAGACGAAACTAGCGGTAAAATGGTTACGAATGATTTGAAGGTTTCTACGAAGGATCATATCGATCCTGTAACATACAGCGCCAAAGTATTTAAATGGCTGATTTATCCTCAGAAAGTAAACAGCTTTATTTCGTAAGTCTCAAAACCAAGTGTATGTTACATGTAATAATATATATATATATTTGACATAATGGATAACTTGTTATTTTTTATAATTAGGAATAATTGGGAGCAAACATCGTTACATATAAAAAGGAACGATCCTAGCTATTACAGCAAAGTGATGTCAACACCTTTATTGCATCAAATACTGAAAAACAATACTGTATTATTTCACAAAGAAATTGACATAGTAAATTATGTGAATGGAGTGAGAGAGGATCACAATCCTGACGAGGGTCGCGCTTTGCCAAGTGTTGTCTGGAATTATTACGACAGCGGTTGTTCCGTGAGAATGTGCAATCCCGAAGCTTACGTACCTCAATTACATAAATTGAGCGGTAAAGACGCATTTTAATACAATTGAGAATGTTTTAACACTCGAGAATGTTTTAATACAAATATGTTTCTCACATTTTAACAATAATACTATTTATTACTCTCTTTATAGCTACGCTCCAGGAAGTCTTCAACTGTTCTGTCAGATCTAATTGGTATCTCACGCCCCCAAATAGTCAGGGTTTCGCGCCTCATTACGACGATGTGGAAGCTTTCATTCTACAAATCGAGGGTAAGAAAAGATGGAAGCTGTACAAACCTCGCAGCGAGAACGAATATTTGCCGAGATATTCCTCGGAGAACTTCGATCAATCGGAAATCGGCGAGCCGATATTGGACACGATCGTCGATGCTGGCGATCTGTTGTATCTACCACGTGGCACCATTCATCAAGCGATGACAATCGACAATTCTCACAGCTTGCATCTCACGTTAAGCGTGTACCAGAAAAACAGTTACCACGACTTTCTCAGCAAATTGCTTCCGCACGCTTTAGAACGAGCGACCGAAGTCGACATTAGTTTTCGCAAGGGATTGCCCGTGAATTATTTAAAATATTGCGGCTTCGCGCATCCCGACAGCGAACAGAAAAGAGTCTTTAAGGAGAGTATTAAAAATCTGATCGTTCAGATGATAGATCACATCGACGTGGACAGAACCGCCGATTTGATGGCTAAAGATCACATTCACGACTTTTATCCACCCGCTCTTACTGATCACGAAAAGCAATGTTCGGTGGTGCGCAACGGCGCGACCATGAAGGCTAACGGAATCGTCGAGAACATCACATCGATAACACTCGACACAAAGATGCGATTAGTACGATATCATTGTATTAGGTAAAAACAAAAAAAAAAAAAACACTTTTATTTTCATTGAACATAAAACGCTCGAGATAAAACGCTTATCTTAAATGTTTTGCTGCAATTGCTAGTTTTGTGAAAGAAGACGATGGGTCTATGCGACTGTATTATTCTACTGAAAATTCCATGAAGTATCACGAATACGAGCAACAATTTTTCGAATTCGATGAAAAGTTTGTTCATCCCATGACGCAAATAATAAAAGCCTATCCTCAGTTTATATGCGTAAGCAGCTTGACCGGTTTAGATGACGACAGTAAGGTACGAAGGGCGTGTTTAACATATATATATTGCTAATGCACTGAATAATTATGCGACGTGTGACACAAATTTACCCTTTACAGATTCAATTCGTCAGTGACCTTTGGGAGAAGAATATAATTGTAACCGACGTTCCTTTGGATTCTGTTTCGAAGTAAAGATCCAAAGCTTGTGTAGCAACTATATCGACAGACTTGGCAGCAAATTGCTGTGATTTAAGCGACAGTTGTATGTCTGATAGATTTTGCCATTAGGAAAAACAAATCTCAGGGAAGATTGAATGAAAATTATGTCAGATTTCATGTAAAAAACATTTCAAATAACAATACAATGTAATATTGTATCTTTACATTTATTTGTTATAATTTATAATATTCCATTATATCAAACTGGTTTTATAATTTTCTAAGATACGTGAGTGTTGATGAGTATTCAGAAACTTTCTGCAGACAAAGCGTATGTCAGAAAGAGGAAAGTGTATACACAATTGTAAGCCGAGTCATGGTGTCTCAAGATGCTCGATAGTTTGTTTTTATTTTTTTCTTAACTGTCGAGGCTGGATGAAAATATGACATAGTAAAAACTCATGGAAAAACTGAAACGAAAAATACTAAAACGATTGTATCTCCCGCGCTAGCGCCAATTTGCGGAAAAAGTGGAAGAGATTGGGTGCGTTCAGACAACTCAACAGTTGCACAACGGTTGAGAGATAATCACTTCTGATTGGATCATACTTTTGGAACCGCAGCAGATTTTGAAGAATAGTCCTATCATAAGTGATGATCTCTCAACCGTTGAGTTGTCTGAACGCACCCATTATAGGGTGCATTCTGTCTTAAGCCTATGTCACACTACGGATTTGGATTGAAATTGGATTGCAATTTGGTCAAATCAGAGCGAAGATCAGTAAACTTAGGATTGGTTTTCTTTCTTCTGATTGGTCAAATTTCAATCCAATCTCAATCCCAATCCGTAGTGTGACATAGGCTTTACAGTCTCTCTGTTATAGTTAGGGTGCGATCTCATGCACTGTTACTTTTTGCGTAACGCGTAACGCGTAACCAATCAGGGAAATTACGTGTACTAACATAAAACACGTAATCTCTCTGATTGGTTACGCGTTCCGCGTTACGCGAAAAATAACAGTGCATGGGATCGTACCCTTA